AGATAGATAGATAGATAGATAGATAGATAGATAGATAGATAGATAGATAGATAGATAGATAGATAGATGGATGGACGTATGGATAGACAGGCAGACATTTGATTAAAATTGCCAACTTTTGTGTATATGATTTAGATGTGAGACTGGGTGGGAAAGTAATAACCTCACTGCCAAGGTGTATTAAAGTAATCTTTGCATTTTCACAAATCCTACAGGAAACCGGCGACCTGTCAGCCTTTCTTCATGAGAACCTTCGTGTCCACAGTCGTCTCAACACAGAGTCCAAGGACAGAGAAAGGGAGCCTGGTCTGTGTGGGTCTTGTGGCAGCAACCCAAAYCAGCTGAAGCAGGAGGCCATCCAACTGGCTCTGAGTCGCAGTCACTCATTTGCTAAACCTCTGTTTGAAGCCAGCCGTAGTGCCGGAACCTTGCTGGGACAAAGTGAAATGAAGCATGGAGACAGAGTCTCAGGGGACGTTGGATATCAACCTCGTAGTCAAACATACAGTCTTCAAGTCCCACAGAGCCCCAGGACACCCCAGAGGACTCCTCAAACCCTCAGACGAAGAGGGCCCAAGCCCCCCAACCCTGATATGGACCGCTGGGTGGAGGAGCAGCAGCAGCTGGTGGCCTCCAAATCTGTGTCCAATGCAGATGGTGTTAACCTGAATTCTTACCATAAGGTACCCATAAACTCCTTCTGTAAGCACTACATGCTGCCCTTTCCTTTAATGAGCTGTTGGAGTAATGCATGTCTTTATGAGAGCTCAAGTCAGCAGATGATTCATGGTTCTGTATCAGAGCCTGCTCCCATCCCTCTGTTCAGCTTGTTCTTTAAGAGTCCCTTTGCTTAATGGAATGAAATTGGGTCGTGATTTACCCGTCATAAAAGCTTCGCCCGTCAAAAAGCATTTGTGATCAATAGGTGGGGGCAGCCATATTTAAAACTGCAGCTGGTGAAATATGCATTTGTGTGATGAAAGCTGCTGTAAAGTGGGCCCACCCGCCCCTTACCCCTCCCCCTCTGATCAACAAAACTGAACCGGACAAGGTGAGGGAGTTGCTCTGTTTTTATTTTTATTATCCCCCCTGAACAAAAGACACAAAACATTCTTGCTTTTGTTAAAGGCACAGTGTGTAGGATTTTGTCAATTCTTTTAGCCGAAATTGAGATAATCACTAAAGACAATAATAAAAAACATGTCTAATCATTGCAGACAAAGACCTTGTTTTATTATTTTTACCTTTATAAAAAGCTGTTTATGTCTCCATGGTCGCGGGTCGCCAGTACAGGCAGCCGCCATCTTGCACCGCCATCTTGTCTACGAAGACTCATGAAGGACAAACTGCGGTGGCGGCGTCAAAAACTATTTTAGGTGTAATACTTTAAATGTAATATTCGTTGTCTGTCAAATAGCTACGTTTACATGGACAAAAGTAATCGGATTAAACAGCTGTTCGGAATAAAAATGCATCATGTAAACAGCCTGTTCCGATTATTCTGATCTGATTGAGCTCGATCCGAATGAATTTTTAATCCGAATGAAAAGGGTGGGTTATGCCGATTGATAATCGGAATGAGGTTCATGTAAACACTTTATCGGATCATCTTATTCTGATTGTAGAAAAATGACCTGTGCGCGCATGTCTGCTGATGTTCATTCACCCGGTAGGACAGCAGCGCTCCAGCTGCGCAGCACCATGCAGAACTTTTCCTCCACGCTCTCTTAACAGATGAAAAAGGAGGCAAACAGCCTAAACGTATTGCTTCATCTGCAGGCTGCAGCTCAACCGAGGAGAAACGACATCTCTACCATTATTAAAAGCTGACACGGGTCCGTCCTG